TTTCTATTTTATACTTATACTCCACCACAATTGTTTGACAACTTTACTTACCACTTACTTTTAAAATTTTACATAAAACAAACAAGATTTATATAGAGTTATATAAAATGTAACACATTGTTAAATAAGTCTAAAAGGCTCAAAAAGGTCAAATTACCCAATATTTCACAGGCCAAAAGTCCCACTAATTATCAACACCACAAATGTATCTAGTGACCTTTTAGTGGGGTCAGAGAACCACCTGGGAACCACTGGATTAAACTACCAAACTGTATATGAAGTAGTAAAAACTAGCTCCACCTCGACCTTCGATCTTGAATTTCCCTCGGGATAAATATAGTATCTATCTATCTACCTTGTAAAATACTGCTTATACATTGACGCATACATCTCTATTTTGTCTCTAAGTCAATAAATGTAGCTTATAATACTTATTTACTTAAAGCAGCTTCAAGGAAAGTTTTTGTTGATTCTGGCGGCCCCTGTGGACAAAAGTGTAGCAGTAGTGTTTCCACCACTTCATTTCATTGATTTCAAGGTGAATCCGACTGTATCCAACCCAGTGGAAGGCATTAAGAATAGCCAATCTTCATCTTCTTTCTGATGGTCTTGTGTGTAGGTCATATAGAGACATAAGTATTACAATGAGACTGTTTCATAACCTTTTTAGTACAATAGATTTCTGATATAACAGAGGAAAAATAAAATGTATCTTTCCATTTCCCCAAATCCTTTGTTGTTGCAGGGAAGCAGCAGCTTTGGACTGTCTTCCTCCAGGTTCTTGTGAGCTCTGAAGGTGGTGAGCCTTGAGATGCGATCACAGCGCCGTGCCTTCATCACCTTACCTCAAGCATGGAAGCAGACACCAGGCAAAGCTCCTGGTGTCGACCCATCATCCTTTCCTCCTCCTGTTAACCATTTATCTCCATCCCAACCTCCACGCCACTCATGTCTCCCTCTTTCACCCATGAATCTCCCTCCTCTGCTCCCTCCGTCCCTCCACGGCCTCCTGAGGTTCCTCCTGAGGTTCCTCCTGATTCTCCTGGCCTGCCTGTGTTTACTGCCCTGCACAGCACAGGCAGCCTTGTTTCGGGTCGGGGTGGTGGGACCGTGGGGGTGCGACCGTCTCTTTGCCAAGGCCCTTCCCAGTGTGGCAGCACAACTCGCTGTCAACCGCATCAACAAGGACCCCTCGCTGTCCTACGCTGCAACGTTTGACTATGTTGTGCTACAGGTACGATGCTGATCTCAGCTTCATCTGCCTGAAAATAATGTGAAATAAACTACTAAATGTAGTAGATATATAGATAATTTTATTGTAACAGTTCAACATGAGTGCTGAAAACTGACGTCTGTGCGTCTGAGCTGGAGCCAAGACATGGTTAGTTTAACTTAGCATAAACACTGGAAACAGATAATAACACGTTTAAAGAACACCTGCCTATGCCAGTACAGGAAAAAAAACCTACATATAAATATAACACACACATAAAAACTTACTTGTAGGGTTTGGTTATTAGTTAAGAGTTAAGTGAGTTAAGTGAACCATTTTCTGCATTCAGTGCTCATGATATTTCTTATGCTAAGAATGCATGTGTAAGGAAGGTGAACTTACCAGCAAAACAACAAAAAAATGACTTACTCAGCTGCAGGGCACGTGATTTTCATTACATTTACAGTCTATCATCAGTATTGTTGCAATACGACTCCCTGCCATCAGTGGCAGCGCTGAGCACAATGCTGGTGAGTAGCAGTCCAGTTGGTGAGTGAAGAAAAATGTTGTACCATCTTGCATTTCACATAGCTTGAGTTAAAACAGCACAAATAACTGGGAGATTTGGTGAACCTTTTATGCACATTAAAGGTCCACATTGGCAGAAATTGAATATAATATTCATCTATGTTGTCATAAGTGTATAATCACCTCCAAATTTCTGTTACCTTAGAATTAGCCGTTTTTAATCAGGTGCAGTTGCAGGAGTGCTGGTTTGGTTCATTGATTAATTCATGGATTGATTGTCACTTTTCAGGAGCCATGTGAGACATCAAGGGCGCTAGAGGCCTTTGTGAGTTTCCACACCAAGGCCTCGGGGTACATCGGACCAGCCAACCCCGGCTACTGTGATGCTGCTTCAATGCTGAGCAAAGGCTGGAACAAAGTAAGTGATGTTTCTGAACACAAGGTATTTTAGAGGGATTTTAGGTTTGTGTATACACCATGAAGGAATTGTTTTTCCTGTCTTTTCCTACTGTCCATTTTCTCCTCTACTCTCCTCCTCCAGGCATTGTTTCCTTGGGGTTGTATTGGCTATGAGCTGGACGATGTTCGGAGCCACCCAACCTTTGCCCGCTCCATGCCGAGGCCCGCCTGGGTGCTGCTCAGCATCATGAGCTACTTCAGGTGGGCCCACATCGGCATCATCTCTTCCTCAGAGGACATCTGGGTAGAGACGGCCACCAAGGTTTGAATATTTATTGGTCACATTCCTGCAAAACATTGGTTTCTAGTAGCTGCATAGATCCTGATAAATCCCATAAAACTGTTTGGTAACAGAGGACCCCACACTCTCCTGGGACATACCATACCTAATCATGAAACTAAGGCAATGAAATGAAGGTGGAAACTGCTCAAAACATGACTGTTTGTTCTCTTATCTTCTAAAAGTTAATGGTTTTCGTCTGATCAGTGTATATGTGTTGTTTTTGTCCTGTCCAGGTAGCCGACTCCTTGAGGAGCCATGGTCTGCCGGTCAGACTGGTCCGTTTTATGGAGAACACACCTCACGGCATAAGACGAACTCTGTCCAGAGTCCGCAAGATGAGAGAAATACGAGGTGAGTTTTGGTTTATTTTTGGTACTGAGAACCTCAAAAGGACCTTTCTACAAACCCATTTGTACCCAAAGACTATATTTAGTATGACAGGGAAAAATGCCATAACATTTGTCCTGATTGGTCTTAAGTCCTGAAATTTGGTACGGACATACTTTGAGGAAGGGAATCAATAGTACAAATTCACACTATTATCACTAGTAAGGATTTTTATGTGTGTGAGTAAGAGTTCCCTTTATTTCTTTTATGCTGGAGATTCATTAGTTATCTCAATATCTGAAGTTTAATAGAAGCAAACAGAACTTCCTCTCAATGGGTGTTAAAAACCCACTGAATTTGTGCTCAGCCAAGCCCAAAGCTCAGTTTCATATCTCGCCCTAGTTGTGATCCTCTGCATGCACTCGGCACTGATCGGCGGCGAAGCCCAGAAGCTACTCTTGGAGACGGCCTACGACATGCAGATGATCGACGGCTCCCTGGTGTTCGTGCCCTACGACACCTTGCTCTACAGCCTGCCCTACCGCAATGTGTCCTACCCGGCTCTGAAGAGCAACAGCAAACTGCTGCGGGCCTACGACGCCGTGCTGACCGTCACCATCGACTCACCCCAGATGTCGTTCTACGACGCCTACAGGGAGGCCATGGATAAGGGAGAGGTGGCGAGGACGCTGAAGCCACAGCAGGTGATGCATGGAAGTGCAGAGATTGTGAGAGTAGGTACTTTGCGCTGTTGAGCAAGGCAGTTGGAGCTGAAATCTGTCTGCGTGTTCTGCAGGTGTCTCCTCTCTTTGGCACCATCTACAGCTCCGTCCTCTTCATGGCTCATGCGGTGCATCGCGTTCGGCAATCTGCGGAGTGGATGTCTGGGGGAAACCTGGCAAGACACACCCGCAACCTGTCCTTCCAGGTACTACAAGGATCATGAATAATGCATTAAGTATTTAAAACATCCAGGGAGTATACACAGTAAATCACTGCTGTCCCCATGTTTTGGTTGATAATTTACCCTCTACTGTGGCCCAATATGCAAGAAAAACATCATAAAGTGCCCTATTAACAGTTCATATTTCTATTAAATTACAAAAAATATAATTTTCTCTAAAGCAATTCATTACAACATTGATTAGGGCCTTAACTAAACTGAATAAAGAAATGAAACATATATATTTATTTGTTTCAATTGATTTCCTAACATTTTTTATACTATGTAGTTGATTAATTCCACATTGTCATATTCTACTCACATTTTTTGTATCCAAACCCAACGCATCAAGCTCCCTGACATTACAAAATCACTACTTCCGGTTCAAACTACATGTCTTATTTATGTTGCAGGGCTTCAGCCATCCCATCAAAACCAATGGGTCTGGAGCAGCTCTACTGGACTACCTCATACTGGACACAGACGGACTCTCCTGGGAGTTGAAGCCAACATACAGGTATCTTTATAACACAACTGGAACATTTAGAGGGATATAAAAGCATGAATACAGTTATCTTATCAATACTAAAATAATAAAAGCATTGGAAAAAAACAGATTTACGTTTAAAATGTGTGTTCTCCGACGCTGTTCGGTGAACAAACGACCTCCCAGACGGAGTGCATTAATAACTCAATCAATCTGATTAATGATAGGATCGACATGGAGGCCGGTATGGTGCGTTTCCTGGGTCGAGACATCCACTTCCCTCGCGGATACGGACCCAGGACGGACTCCTCCTGCTGGTTTATCCCTGGAGTCATCTGCTCAGGCGGTGAGGAACTCACAAACATATACACTGTCCCTCTATTAATGCTGGATGTTTGGGTTTTTAGACTTTTAACCGTGATCTACAAATAAACATACTGCTGCATGTGTACTCTGTTTAGCTTGGGTTGTTTATGTCAGTACTATACATGGCTAACAAATGCATTTTGTCCATATATGCTGTTGTCCAACTATTCTCATTAGAAGATTTCTGTACCGACCATTCAAAAGTCACTTATTTTAAATTTATTAGTCCATGGAAAAGTAGACTTATTAATACAATAACAAGTTGTGATCTTTTATCTGTTCAAAAACTCCCTTTTTAATGTTTTAAATAACTTTTCATAACTTTTCCGTTGCAGGGGTGGATCTGTTTTCCACCATCAGCATGTTCTTCGGAGGGACCGTCACCTCTATTTTTGCAATGGCGTTTATTTACTGCGTCAGGTGAGAAAGTCATGTTGGTCTGGTCTGGAAGGTCTAACAAGGGTCAGCCTTCACTATCAACAGAGCCAACAAGAAACTATATCGACATGAGCTACTCTGCAGTGGGCTATTTATAGATATTTTGTACTTTAACTTTGCTTTACCATTAAAATAATACCATGTTTTGTTGCATTTATGAACTTATAGAACTACAGTACAGTAAACATTTTTCTGCATATTTTGTCATTTTTATAGAGATGCTATTACCAACCAAACACAAAACTGAACAGCAGACTGAAGAAAATTATCACTTAAGGCCTACAATACTTTACCATTTATGTCCATATCAGTTTTTCTCAAAGCCATAAGGAGCCACTGGAGAGGGGCTAAAGAGACACTTGCGGCTCCAGAGCTGCAGGTTGCCTTCCCCTGGTCTAGAATATCAATCTAATTTAAATTAAAATAAATTAAAGTAGTGAAAAAGTTGCAGGACTGATTCACAGTCTATCGCTCACTCCTGCTGTCTTGTTGTGTCTTGTTGTCTCTTGTTGCCTAGGCGACGCATTAATCAGATTCGACTGCTCACGGGTCCAAACAAGATCTTGCTGACTCTGGCAGACGTCACATTCATCAACCCGTCGCTTAGCAACAAGGTCAGCCCCTGTTTGATTGACTCTGACATCTTGTTGGAGTCATACTGTATCAATTTCTGTTCAATAAATCCATATTTCTTATTAAATTAAGACATTTCTGACAGTGTTTGTGTTACTGGGGTTGCCCCTTAAAAGTAGTTAAAACTACAACCTGTCTCACAATCCTGAATTGGACTCCATGTAGAAGCTGAGTCTGGACGACAGCAGAATCAGCGGCATGAGGAGCGTGTCAGAATGCAGTGCCACGTCGCCAGTCTCCACCCAGTCACCGGCCACCTACGAGAACTCCAACGTCGTCATCTACGAGGTGAGACAGTCAGTTTAATATGTACAGTGCCCTCTTCCCAGTTCCTTCTACATTGTAAAGACTAAAGATAAACCATCCAGTAGCCAAAAGGAAATGTCTTTAACCGATTCTGGCTGCCAAAACATCGTTGACTGTTTTATTTGATTGAGGCTTCTCACATAGTTGGTTTTACATAGTTTAGCCTGCCAGAGTAATCCCATAAAATGAGTGACTACCATAAAACTTTGGGTTTGGTTTGAGGATATTTTGTTTCTGATTATTCCCACACATCCTGGAAAACCTGGAAATTTAGAGACTAGTTTTCCAGTCATGGAAACACCTGGAAAATGTATTACAATG